CTGAGGCTTTGTTGAGGAACAGTGTGCTGGTATAATACTGAAATAGCTCTCTTCACAGTGATTTTCCCGTGGAGAAATCTAGAGTCTGTTTATGAGGAAATATCCTCCAGACCCAGGTGGTGGATCATTTTATAATGTAAAAACTTGCAAAAGTTCAAGACTGTTAAGGATATAAAAGACAGGACAGATTAAACAACTCTTTCAGACTGAAGATTTATGAAACATGAGAATCATAAGCGACTGTTTCCTGGGCAAGTAGCTGGACTAGAAATGGAAAAGATAGATTCCTGCAATGGCTGGCAAAATTACAGTGATGTCTCTGAACTGGAACATAGCATTGTAGAAATGTTGATTTCCTAAGTGGGAGAGTTGTATATGGTTATATATCTATATGGTTATGTCCTGTTGTATATGGTTATACATGTATATGGTTATGTCCTGTAGTGCTTCCCATCTTCCCACCTTTTTATAAGGTGCACACTAGAGTACTTGAACAGTGGTATGGCATTATAACTGAAAAAGATTCTTTCTCTTCTTTTTCTTCTATGCTTGTATATTTATATCTATGTAATATATCTACATAATCTATAATAAAGAGCAATATTTCTTGATCATTTCACTCAGGGGAATTTTTTGGAATAATTTTTAGGTTTACCCACACAAGAAGTTATTATATTCACAGCTTTTAGTAACTTAATGAGGTCATTAATTTGTAGATATGATATTATAGTAATAACTTTCACTGCTATTTTAAGTAGAGAATGACATTTTCTTGTGGATGTGATTATTTTACCCAATGCATTAGCTCACTCTGTGTAGCTTACCATCCCCATAAACTATATCCACTTTATGTCACAAAGGCAGGTAATTGAAATTATAGTTTTTCTATTCAATTAGATTTTAAATTCTTGTCACAAATTTCTTCTATAAAGTTGCTAATAAAGCAAATATATTGTTCATGATTTGTTTAGCATCTATTTCAAGGTTCTTAAAACTAAAGGCAAACTTCTTGGGAAGAACAAAAAAGACTCTTAGGAAGAATCTCCTTTTCTTAAATTTAATTTTGTTTCTTTGTATAAATTTTTAAAATTCATAAGGTAAATTTCAGTTTTTGTTAAATTATTGAAGTAAAATCAAAGTTGATTTTCATTAATGTTATTGATAGTGTTCAATAGCAAATTTTAACTCAGCCATAATCCAAAACAATATGAAAACAAATTAGTCTAAGACACAAATCTCTATGACTTGAAAAAACATGCCTTATGGAGTGGTATTGTTGAAGTGGATAGCTAGGCATAGTAATTACAGAATTACTATATAAAGGCTTTATTTCCTTGAACCCTTTTTATAAGCTTGTGTATGTACAAAAAGTATTTTTATGCTACAAGTAAAGAACTGAAATTCCTTTAATGTGAGATCTGTGCCTAGTTTTTGCTGCACAAAATACTTAATTCTCAGGCAAAATTGAGTTAAATACAAAAGGATTTATTTTCAATTGAAATGAAATAAATTCTGCTCTTGCTCAAGATGCTTGTTAAACATAACAGTTTGCTTACACATAAAAGAATGGAAAACCGTAGCAAAATATTCACTGCTTTCTTATGAATGGCAAGATAGTCTTAACAGGAACTGAGAAAGAACTACACTACTGGCTTAGGACAGAGTAGTCACCTCAACTGGAATGTCATCAGACTACATACTACAGCTCACTGACATTTTTTTCTCTAAGTCCACTACTCTGGCCGAGCCAAAGGTTCAGAAAAAGGGTTACATTTACTCAGTCTAGAAAGGAAGGTAAATGTTCATTCTGTCCTGTACTGCTTCCCATCTTTCAATAAGACTTGAGACTTGATTTCCTTCCGCACTCTCAAGCCTAAACACAAAACAACAATTTTTAAGTGGTTTTTTTCAACATGCTTTTCCATAAGATTTCATTTCCATTTAAATCAGATTTTACCATCTGAAGCCAAAACATTTCTCCAAGGCCTTGCAGAGACTTGTTTATTGGCTTCTGTATTAAAAATTGTCTCCTAAGACTAATATTGTAACAAAACAAAAGTGAGTTCACTTCTTGGTGAGTTACAGATAGTGACTGTTCCAGGTAGAGTTGTCTTACAAAGGATGTTTTTTGAAGCAAACTAGATGTTGGGAAATTAGTTACAAAGCTCTGACTCCCCAGTTAGGGGTGAGTGGGTTTCTTTTATTTAGGGCAAAGATGAATGTTCACAAAGGGGAGTTTTGTCATCCCATGTCCAGGTGGGTGTGATGTCATGCATGAGTACTTAGGAAACATGCTTATATATGCATTGTATGTTATGTTCATGCAGTTTGTATTGCTCCTTGAGTGGAGATTTTCACATTATAATGAAGCAGAGGTAACTGCTGGGTGAAGAGAAGGGGGATATGGGCATGTTCTGAGAGACTGTATAAACTAGATGGGGCACTGGCTGTGATGAGCACTGGGGGTCATATGTAAATGATGAATAATGAAAATTTTACACCTGAACTAATACACTGTATGTTCACTAACTGGAATGTACATGAAATGTTGACACTAAAAAAAAAATAATAAGTAATAAACTAGATGGGATTTGGGGCTACTTATCTCAGGTAGGGAATGCAGGGCCTTGTTTTCTTCTGACCCAGCACTAAGTGTTTTCTACTTATTTATTGTCTCTGATATGGCTAGGCTCTTTCCTTGTCTGATAGACTGTTCAATTTTTTTGCAGTCCCTTTTTTCCCTTAAAGTCCTTAACTACCAAGATTTTTTTTTTTTTTCTTTTTTAAATTCTGACACTTTTGAGGAAGTTCTGCAAGACATGTGCTTGGGCAACTAGAGCACAGATCGCAGAAAATAGCTGGGAGCCTAAAATGACTTTCTGTCATAGAAGCTGTGTCTCCCTTTATCCCCCCCCCCCCCCCCCCCCCCCCCC